CCTAGAGAAAGCTATATCAGCTAATGAATCATAATCATTGGCCTCAGAAGGAATTCAAACCCTTATTAATTAGGTTTCCAACATAAAAAATTTAGGGTCCCCCCCAAAATTAGCATTATTCAAGACCCATTTTTCAATCATGGGGTCTGGAATAAATTTGGAAAACATTAGCATTATTGAGGACCTATTTGCTAATCAGGCTCCAACATTATTTTTCTCTTCAGCCCCCATAGGTTTAAAGCAACATGATGCCTTCTGATGAAACAGCTCTGGAGCAACAGATGGCTGAGGCTTTGACTTCAGCTTTTGGCCATCGTCCTCGCAGCTGCAAACCACAACTATTCCGACTTAGACTCAATCAAGGATCGGTGGAGTGTCCTTCATGGGCGGGTACGTTGAACCAACAAGGCTTCGCGCGCAAAGTCTGCAAGCTTGCAGAACGCAGTGTGAGCATAGTTGACCAGTGAAACGAAGTGTGAAACCAGTACAGGTGAAACAGTGAGGTGAAACCTGGATACAACACATTGGGTGACACAGGTGAAGCCTAGATGAAACAGGTGAGACTGTGAGACGGTGAAGGAGGTGAAAACTGTACAACCAAAACGGCGAAGCCTTGTTAGGTGAGACCCGCTCGACAGAACAAGATCTGCTGCCGATCACGCCTGATTTTGTATTCATCCACGGCTTCCACTTTCCCTGACATGCGCGCTTGAGCAGCTGAGACAAAAGATCACATCAAAGCCAGCCATGCAATTATCCAAATGGCCAGCTCTCATATGGGCGTTTTGCGCAAAAAAGGCCCAATTCCCAACTTAGCTCAGGTGTGGCCATCCCAAACCCATCCTATGCTGCTGAGGTTGCTCAACCTTTAGCTGCCACACGTGTTTGTGAAACACAACAACTTCCGCCGGCTCTTTACTATGGCCTTATATGATTATATGCGCACCATGCTTGAACACCAACAGTGCATCCACACAGTTTTTTGGGGTTAATGCGACAGATAGACTTGTCCGCATGCCACTGCATCAAGCCACAAAGAAACTATGAATGATACGACGGCGGTCACTTTTTGGGAGGCCCTTGGCAAGGCAGCAGAAAGGAGAACCAAGAGACGCAGGCTGAACTCCTCCAGCAAGGCACTTGTCCAAAATTTGTGGGTGCGGTGTTTTATAATCATTCCTGCAATTCTCCTTTGTTTCATGACATGCTTTGCACCCGCGGCTGTACTGTACGGGCCCTTGAGCACATGAGGAAAAGCGGCGTGCAACCCGCTTTGTTTTGGTCTTGGGAACCAGGCTCCAATTACGTGTTTTGCTTTGATTGATGTGAACACGACAAAGCGCATTGGTAGCATGGTCTTAGATCCTCTCGTGGATCGCGTGTCTCATGGTGGCTGATGGTGGGGCGACCAAGTCTGCGGAGCAGAACATGCCCCTGACTTGGTGGTTTGGGATCCCAATACATCGCCAACACCACCGCAGAGCCTTTTGGGAAGCTCGGAGGTCCCCGAGAAGCCAAGGCCACAACGGCCCTAGAGCTCCCCACGCAGCGGCCACCAAGGAGCAGGGCGTCTAAGGAAGGCTGCGAAAACCAACAGAAGAAGCCCTTTTTTGGAAACCTTCCACCAGCTCCAAAGTTCGACGGCGGCCGCAAGGTTGACCCATTGTTTCCAAAAGTTCCTGCATCAGAACTTGACTATGAGGGTGGCAGAGCACCTTGACCATGCAGCCCGCCGATGTCGTGACGCTGGCTTGGACATGATACCGGATGCCATTGTTATCCATGTGTTCTCCCACCACGCCGGAGCTAGCAGCTAGCAATGAACGGTAGGCCCGCTACTTTGGTTGGTATTGCCAAAGTGAGAGTTTAGAGGAGAAACATGACCACATGAGCTGTTTGCCACCGTCCTTTCATGTATAGCCACGCATACCGCAGTGGTGGGTCCGAGCTCACACGTGTCGTGCGCCATAGGGTTGATTGCCACCAGTCGGCGACAAATCGAGAAGTGTACCAGGAAGCTTGGTTGTTGGACGTTGCTACAAAGCATTGCTCCTCCCGCATGCTAACGGATCCCCTGGTGGCTCCAGGGGCGTGAGAGAAAGGATGGCTGCAGGAACTTCTGGTGTTCCGACTTGCAATGGTTGCCGGCCCCCGAAACGCAAACGTTGTTTTTCTAACGCGCGGCGAAGTTAGCGCGACGTTATTACCAGGCTTTTGCAAACGTGCCACAAATTTGGAGGTACGGTAAGTAAATCACAGAATTTGTTTTTTTTCGTGTTTGTTGCAAATGGGAAAATGTCGTGTTGTTGCAACCTTGTCAAGTTCCCCCCGATCGCTCAGGAACAGCCTGAGAAGATGGCCAAAAAACACAGATGTGAGCAACATCAATTGGTGGAGCAAATGCCCGACGACGGACGAGCATAAGTTAAGCGAACGCTTGACAACTATGAGCTTGGCAAGCATGTTGGAGAAGATACCAGCACAGGACCGTCAAACCCATCAGCGCCGCTCATCTTCATATCCATCTTACAGACCACACGCTCAACCGCAGGCAAATTTTTAGCGAGCAGAGACCTGACCCCAGAGCATCATCATCATCATCTGCCTCATGCCCACACCCGAAAGAGAAAGTGATCAGCCAACGCCCAAAGGACAAGACAAACGGAAAGAGAAAGAAACAGGGAAGGGAAAAACCAAGAGAAACAAGATGATGACTATGACACGTGGTGGTTTCGCGACCGATATCATCATGATTGGTATATAGATGACCGCCGGACGTCTATTCATGAAAGCGCAGTTCGCGTGAGCTCCAAACGTAGCCACAAGAGCTTAGAAGACCAACTGAGAGGGACTCCGTGAGCTAGGCCAATTCAATTTTCGACCCGATGAGCAGAGCCAATCTAGTAGTATATGTAAAGCTAGCGCCTTTTCACCAGAATTTGTAACGCAGGGAATCAAGTCTCATTCCTGCGGCGCACCGTGTATAGTATAGTACCAAACAATTACACGATGCTATGTGTACAGATGTGACACTGCAGATGCATGGGAGGCGCCAAAGGGATGGCAACAGGTACAACGTATAACATGACTGTCAAGTTTCACTTGTAAATTTCACACATATACATGTCTTGTCAAGCGTCCAAATGAAGGAAAAGAAGCGCGCGGAGCCTTGCTGAAGCAATAGCGGTGATCGTGTGATTTTCATGATCTCGAGATCCTTGGTTAATGCCCACTCGCAAAAATTATCAAGCTACCCGACCAGCGTGGTTCGAGCGCCTGCAACTGGGACGAAGGAAGAGCAACAGAAGAGGTACACCAGGCTGGCAGCTCCCTGATCTCCTAGAGCCTTCTGTTTCTTGGGATGCTTGGCTCTATGAGGAATGACCCGATCGAGATGGTTGCTGAGTGTGTGAGTCAAGCGACAGCATGTTCATCCCACCGAACATGATAGGACTGACCGCTTGCTCCAAAGCCTGCCTAGAGAACCACAAAAGCGGCGGACGAGAAAAATGAGACAAGGGCAAAGGACGTGGTAAATCTAAATCTAAAAGCAAAGGCGGCGTCGGCCTTACACTCCTTTAAAGCGAAGACGGTGTGCGCCGAGTGCGGACGGACAGTGAAGGACGCCTTTGAGGAGATTGACCCTGGACGAGACGCGACGGATGTGTGGTGACGACTGTGATTGGGTTGGTTTACTTGGAATTTGGCGCCGGTCATTTTTGTGGTTGCTCCATTCGACTGTCAGTGCCTATCGGGATCAGTGGCAAGCCCATGGTCATTCGGACGTCGATGATTGAGGAGGACAGGCGCGCAGATAATCGTTGTGCTGTCTTTGGCCGGCCGGGACTGGTTGGTTTTGATCGGCGCTGCTATCAACATCGGCAACAACAAGATGCTTTTGCCCGAGGACTACCCATACACAGTTTGGCCACCCGACTCTGAACCATAGGGATGCCTGAAGATTCTGCGGCTACATACCTTTCGGCCTCGTGAAGATTCTGCTACACGACTTGTGGCCATCTGAGAGTTTACCTTAAAACATAACTTGGCCACCGGAAGATTCCCTAACAATTATGCTACGTAACTTTTTCGCCTCTTGAAGACTTCCGGAGCGCAGCCAGGACGTAGGAGGGCATAGATCTGTGGGCGTAACCGGACCGCAGGAGGAACGTGGCTTGTTGTGCCAGGCAGATTTCTGGAGCGCTGAGGGTTGTTATCCTTGTTGAAACGCGGTTCAGCACATATATGCCTGGACATCGCAAGGCCAGGTAGTTTTCAAAAGGATTTTTGCGAAGCATCATTTTCCTTGCAAGTGGGGGCCAGATTGCAGCCAGCGTTACTTCGTAACCCTCAAGCCTTGAGGAAAACGGATGTTGACAATTACACCTGTGAGGGAGTGTGCCACTACGGCTCGGGGCCGCACAAACTCCCCTCCCAAGAAGCTTGCGAGGCGACAGCTGGCAACTGTGCACGGCCACTCAAGGACTGATCTTTCCATATTGGTAAAATGGTTTCTGATGGTTCACTCGCTCTTTGGCATTATAATGCTCGCAGACGGGGTTTGCAAGATGTATATATAGATTGGATTGCCCAGGGAGGTTTTCTTTGCCAAATGTTTTCCCAGGAGCAAGGCGTTCCAGAGCTTAAGGGC